CAAATTTTGCATAAACTATTGTTGTGAAATACTCTTGGGAGGTCTGCATATTCCCAAGAGCATTTCACAACAATAGTTTATGCAAAATTTGGGGGGCAAGCAGAGTGAATTATGGGCAATTGGAAAATAGAGGATGTTACAACGCGCAATAAGAAAACGTTTTCGCAGAGCATAATCGTTCCCGGAAAGCTGCTTGGGCTGTCCACGAGCGTAAAATTGACAGGATTGGCTATTTATTTCTAGACCCTCGTGGGATTTCTTATTAAGGCGGGAGGGATCTAAAAATAACTTGGGAGGGCTTACTTTAGGAATATAGTCTTATATGGGGGGATTGACTCTCTTACAACCTAGCGCTCTTGTTTGTTAGTATAGTTATTTCAATAGGCCACATTCTTATTCCAGATATGGGTCTGGAACTAGCTTGTAACTGAGGCTAATACGGGGATCCTCTTCAAATGCAAATCACTTCTCTCTTTCTAGTGATATTCCCCGGATGAGCCTCCATTGCAAGCTAGTTCCAGTCCAATACCGAGAATACGAATACGGTCTATTAACGTTAATTAACGGATCGAAGCATCAAGCTAACGCAATAAAGACCAAAAGTTAGTACGGTTAGAAGTAGAGAGTCGCTGCCCGCGCTGAACACGTATCAGATATTACAACACGGCAAACACTGAAGAGCTAATGAGGGAAATATTGCAAACAAGCTTATCACTATTTCTTTCCTTGATTGTTTCTTTCTAAAAGCGAATCTGACACGCGTTACCTTTCGTTAACACCGTCGCGATGGGAAATTTCACGAAAACAAATTGATCTCCACACCATCCTGGGGAGCGGCGCATTTGGTGAAGTGTGGAAAGCTGTGGCTTATGGACTAAGAGGGCTCTCTGGGGAAACAACAGTTGCTGTAAAAAAACTCAAACGTAAGTCCTTGTTAATCACGATTTTACTTGCTGCAGGGAAGTGGCGCTAGTGCTAATTTTCTAATAATTTGATCCTCGAAATTTCGGTGATTTTGTGCAATTCTTTGAACTCAACTACGATCCACTTTGTTGTTTTGTTTTTTTATTTGTTTGTTTTTTATGTTGTTGTTTTTTTATAGATCAAACCTCCAAAGGACAAACTGTGAATGTCTGGTTATAAAATAACTGACAAAAAAAAAAAAAAATGTCAGCTTGGTCGGGAAAATCTAACTTAACATACTGTGTAAAAACCATGAATAGAATGGATAAATACACGTTCCCATAATCCTGAGAGATTTCTTCTCAAAGTTCTGGCTAATACTGCAGATATCTTTTGCTCAGAGAAATAATCTCTTGGTTTCTTTGAGATAAATCATCATATTTCTTGTTCCCAAAATTACTAACTATCAACTGAATCTCTAGCTTCTAATTTATTTTATGTATAGAGTGAAACCTATATTAAGCGGACACCCTTGAGGGCTCTTGTTAGTGTCCGCTTAATACCAGGTGTCCGCTCTTAACAGGTTCTAATATGTTGTGCAATAACAGTGAGTTATTAACCCTTTTGTAACACAGTGTAACACAGTGTAATTCCAAAAACTGCTCATAGCACAATATCCAGTCAGTCAATGCGTCAATCTGGAATAATCACTTAGCTTTAAAACGACATCGCTGAACAATGTTAAGGGAGTCACATTTGAACTTTTAGAGGTAAAATGCCCTTGAAGTATATATCCGCTTATTGCAGGTTTTGTGCAACATACTGACTTAATATTGGTGTCCGCGTTCGCTTAACAGAGGTGTCCGCTGAATGCAGGTTTATTTTACAGTAAATGTGAGAGGAAAATTTAGGGACTCAGGCAAGCTAGTGTCCGCTTAATAGAGGGTGTCCGCTTAATATGGGGTCCGCTTAATACAGGTTTCACTGTAATTACAATGTAATATCGTTTCGTGAACAGATAACAGCAGCGACCCGGAAAAAGAATCCTTAGCGCAAGAGATTGAGCTGGGAAAGTCATTGGAGGGAGACAGACATCCAAATATCGTCAACTTTCTGGCCTGTGTGTCTACATCCGGTAAGATAGGATAAGTACAAAACCGACTTTTAATAATAAGCTTTTATTAGTGTGCAATACAGCCAGTGACATTACTTACACCACTGATACTTACGTAGCTAACATTACAATACATCTACTTAGAATACACAGATTACAATACAACACAGCTACTTTACATTACTTGCAATATTTATAAAGATACTTACATTGTTTTCGTCGTACTAAAATATTCATACAGCAACTTTACATTATTTTCGATACTAATACAGATACTTACATTCTTTACGGTACTAAGACAACTGCATTATACTATTTGCAAAACTGAATACATAGCATTTTTTTCCCTTTTGATACATTGATTGTACCATACTGTGGGACAATTATAAATCGAAGAGAAAGAAATTAAAACTAACAAAACGTAGTAAATAAAAATAGAAGACGAAAATGAAAACAATTGAAGTAGCAGATCCTCCGAGACAAAGATATTTGAGGCAGCGCATGCACATAGTGCACAAAAACCGACTTGCCGTTAACCCCAGAAGGTCAGATATAATAATGAAAACCTAATTACCACAAACGTTTTCAACCAAATTCCAGTAGTTAGTAAGAAGGTGCTTATGCGAAACGCTTCGCGTAATTTGCATGTTTCACAATCTTTTCACGTCTTGCGAGAAAAAAAACTGTATAGAACGTTTCTTGAGTTGTCTTACGCTGAGCAACGTGTGCGGTTGGTTATTTGATTAGTTGTGTTTTTCCTCTCCTAGTGTAAAACTCCATTTGTTGTTTTACTCGTAAATAGACTAAATTTTAAGTTACTCTTAGGTTTTGTAATTTCTTTTTAGCTAGGTGTCCTCCATTAGGTTATACCTCGGCTACACAATCTCGACACATTAGTGAAGTTATTATATCAGCAGTAAAATCAGATGCATTAATTGCTATGTGCAGTAATTATGACGGGGCGCGTGAGCGTAACCCGTTGACTATGGTGAAAACCCTTAATTCTACGTAAGCTGCATAATGAATAAAATGTCTCTATTTTTATTATCTCTATTATTATTATTATTATTATTATTATTATGGGATAACCAAAAATAGAGGGAAATGATTTTATCGGAAAGTTACCCATTTAATGTCGGCCAGTTCAGCGGCCAGTTTAGCGAATGCTGGTGGTTGAGAAAGTTTATGAAAAAAACCCACGGCAATAAGGAAAAAAAAAAAAAGAAAAGAAAATCAACCAACCTAAATCGGTTAATTAAAGTAGAATATAGTGTCATCCTAGACATTTTTTCTCACTTGCGTCACAGCAGGAATGCCTTGTTTTTTGACCTAATTAGCTTAACTTATTTCTAGCTCCTATGATGTTGATTTTGGAATATGCACCATACGGGGATTTGCTAGGATACCTAAGAAAAAGCCGAGGTCTCGAAGACAAGTATTACAGTTCCCCCGAGTGTTGTCAACAGGAAGTGACGTCATACGACCTGCTTTCTTTTGCACAGCAGATTTCGGCCGGCATGAGTTTTCTTGCATCCAAGAAGGTAGGTGATTCATGTTCATCTCTTACACAAGGAGTTTAAACTAATAAATTTAAATAGCGTGGCAGAAACAAAGGTGCCAATCGTAAAAATGGCAGAGTGTAGTGTTCATGCTTGAAGTAACATATGCAATAAGGTGGAGCTTGTTTTATCACATGAACAGATCGGGAAGAGAATTTCAAAAACGACGGGCGGCGGAGTATTTTTGGCGAATCTCGACGTGTTTAGAAAGGTGGTGAAACACTGTTTTGCGTGTTTGATGCTTCTCAATCAAAAACAAAACCAAGGAGAAACAGGAGAAATCAAATCGCATAAAATCTGCGCTAACTAAATATTCAGATATCCAAACATGGTTATGGTTATGGTAACTTTTGTTTTAACTCGATAAATTATTAATAAATCTGAAAAAATTCCATCAGTTGCAATAAAAACAACAACAGCAGCAAAATTCAGAACAACAACAAGAACGCCATCAACGAACAACATCTACCTCAACAACCACAGACAGCCTCAACATGTACTAAAACAACAACAACAACATCATTAGCAGCTATTTCCACAACTAACACTGCCAATGAATTGGTAGTTAAAAATTTGACGTTTTGTTTGGTATTTGCATGAAAAACGTGCTGCACGTATTACTATTTTTCCTTGTGTCATATATATTGAGAGTATTGATATTTTTAGATGATCAGAAAATGGCCACTTAATTTCCACGCGAGATACAACTTACAGTATTGGGATTCATTCATATCGTGAGTAAATCAAACACGAAAGACCGTGTTGGACCACATTTCCAAATACCGAGAAAAGAGTTAAAGATACGATGCGCAGCGAACTTCGACGTGTTTGGAAATGTGGTCACAGGTTCTTGAGTATTTGATATATCTTCTCAATCGAAGCTAAAGCTAAGGAGAAGACGGAGAAGTAAAATCGTAAAAATCTATGCTAATTAAGATCAGATATCCAAACATCGTCGTGGTCAAGATTTCTTCTGTTTAAACTTGATGAATTATTGATGAGTTTGAAAAATACGTGGAGAACGGCGAAGACGGTGTATCAAGAAATCCCATTTTAATTTGCAGAAACGTGGCTAACAGCTAGCCTGAGGCAGCAATCCCTTCACATTCTTATGATGTATGTATTTGTGATACGTCATATTAGAGTTATGTTAAGCCCGTGTTGTCCGTGTAATGCCGTGATTTATTTAACTTTAGTTTATATGTTTCCCTTTTTTAGATCCTTCATCGTGATTTGGCGGCCCGAAATATACTCGTGGGCGTAGACAAGACTTGTAAAATTACAGACTTTGGATTGGCGCTGATAAGAGACAAATATCAGTATCTTTACTGCATTTCTATCAGAAAGGTAAGTTTTAAAATTATCGACAAATGCGTGTGCATTTCAACTAACCGAAATGCGGACCAATACTATAAGAAGGTGGAATTCACGTTATAGAGATGAAGCTGTCTGAGATTTAATTTACCCTTGAGGACATATGGTTTACTTGGCAAATGAATGAAAATCACTGACGGAAGGGAATAGCAACAAGGTATGAAAAATAATTCTGACTCCAACGATACGTTTCAAACTGCAGACGTACAAGGACATATAGCCCCTTCTGAAAATACCAAGGGCTAGTCGATTTGAGTGGAATAGAAAAGATAAATATGTTCAAATAAAATGTAGCAACTAACAGGAGAAAGAACTCAATCGAATTTGAGAACTTTATATATGGAATTTTAACAAGGCACCACAGGCTTAACACTGAAAGGCAAGGTTTGAAACTGTGCATGGGAAGATTAATTCCTCATCAAAGGTTTCCCAAGCTATCGTCTAGCCTGCAGGATGGCCAGTAGGTTCATTATCTACTACTACCTTACTGTCAAAAAAGTCCTGAAATGAATTTTGGCGAAATGCGGAGTTTCTTATGATCAGGTTTTTTCGACGAAGATAAAGAAAATTTCGGTTTGGACTAAATTTCACCGAAATTTTGAAAGGCTATAGTTATCATAATTTCGCTCTCCTGGGCAAAACTTTCGAACGAATCGAAAGTTTGCGCGACTTAGATTCGCGGGCGTTCAAAATTCGAGCAAAAATCCACTTGTTCGAATTTTCGTCTGCCTAAATAAAGCATCCGAGCGGGACCGTCAAAGGTTCCCCCTCAACTAGCACAGACATTTTTATCTTGGGTGGTTTGTTACCCCATTTCATACCATATGATGATACTCTCGAGAATTCTAGCTTTAAAATTTTCAAATAGTCGCGTCTGGATGAGTGAGTCATTTTTAGATGGATAAAAGAACAGGTCTCTAGAAAATGCAACGTGGTCTGTAATAGGAAACAAGCTGCCCAAGCTAAAAAGGTCTATTTTGTCAAGATTTCTTAAGAAAATTGTCAGTACTAGCTGCAGGGAATGGGGAATTTCTCTCTTGTCTATAACAAAACTACCAAAGCAAGAGCGCAAGTCAAGACCTTTCCATCCGTAATCAGAGTGTAAGATAGACATGACCCTGATACCCTTTTGTTCATCATGTTACAGGGCCGCCTGCCAATCAAATGGACGGCTCCTGAACATTTGTTTACTGAATCAGAAGAAAAGGACGTAAGAGTGTCAGAGAAAAGTGATGTGTAAGTCAAGCTAATAAATCATAGCTCATTCTTAAAGTGATCTCCTACATACATGAAACTTCGCAAGAACATTTGCAGACGAAATTCAGATACCTTAAGCCCGAGTCAAACGCCGTACCTCACATGAGCCGAACCTAATGACAGTTTGGGTCGAGTCAAATAATTAAAAATACCCCTGTTTGAGTCAGAAGTAGAACCGAACTGCTGCATGCACCAAACAAATAACAAAAGCGGTCTTGTTGGTCAGTGGTTTTTCAAGGTAAAGTCAAAATGGCGCCTTTAGACCTTTGATTATGCGTTTGGTTAGGCTCATGTGAAGATCGCCGTTTGACCCAAAGTCGGTCTTCAGGCGTTATTCACGGCTGGCCAAATAAAATCAGTCGAACTTAGTGGGTCAAACGCCGAATTTCACATGAGCCTAATTGGTTGAATTGGGTTCGGCTCATGTGAAGTACGGTGTTTGACCCGGACATTATTTAACATCATCAGGTCACAAAAATGATATGCCTGACCTGCTTAAGATATAAAAACAAATCGTTTGTCGCGTGTATGAAACAAACTGTCCAACATGGTAAAATATCCCGAGGGCAAGAGATTCATTTTATCGTGCTCAAGGGTCATAAATCTGACCACTTGCGTGGTCTAGGACAAAAGAGATCTCGGAATCATTTAGCTATTCAAATTCAAGCCATGAATACCAGACCTTCAACCTGCGCGGATTACAAACCCAAAGCTGTCGATATCTACATACAATGCAGATGTGCTATAAACGTTTGCTTTTTACGCTGTAAGTGACATGAACTTCTTTATCTTGTAAAATGGAAGCAACGGGAAAAGTTTGCTACTCGGATAATTCTTTTCATAAACTTGCATTTTCGATGATATTTCCCTTGCTATCTACCACTCAGATTAAATAAGATCACGAAACGTGGTATACCTAACCAGGAAAAAAGGAAACAAATACCTTTTTCAACCTATCGGGAGCAACGACAAAATCAATCGCGTTTCCTGGCTTAGGTTAATTTTCCCGTCCTCGTTTTAGAGGGCCTTCCAGGGGTTTCAGGGAACAAAAGAACAGGATCGTATATTTTACGGGAACAAGAGATATCTTTTGTATCAATTCAAGGGAACAAGGGATGTCTCTACTATTAACAGGAATTTTTGCGAATTATTTTAGGGAAAAATGAATATTTTTATGACAAACAAGGGAGAAAATGCCCAATATCCAGGGATCAACGAGACATGTATTCTCTTCCCTACCCCCACAACCCCTCCCAGCCCCCT